TTGGGTATGACTTTGTTATGTAGTTGGTGTTCAGTATTTTATCACTAATTTTCTCTCAATACGCCATGGAGGATCAGGGGTGGTGTTGTTTAACCCGTTGTAAACCTTACATTAGACTGGTAGATGAGTTAGTGTGACCTAAAATTACTGTACACGTCTTTTAAGTCGTTTGTGTTTTTAGGACATGATTTGAGTGTTGATGTACAGTCAGCCAAAGATCCAGCAACCCCACCCTGGGTCTCGTACTGGCAATTTTTCCTGGCAATATTTGGTAAAGTAAGGCTGTATGGCTGTATGTAGTGGTGATTGTGATTGGTGGATCTATTTTCGGTTGTATCACTGTCAGGATAACTATTTCACAATCCAAAGGTAGAATTTTTATAATAACTATTTATTACTATTAAGATCTTGAGAAGTTTCCAAATGTTCGTATATTTCCTTAAATAATGAAGAAAATTTATTAATGAATTGGCAAGTCAACTACAACAAGGGCTGCCACAAGATTCTCAGAAAATTAATATTTTTTCATTATTTAAGCAAATATACGAACATTTGGAAACGTCTTGTGATCTAAAATAATGGTGAATAGTTTATTATTTTAATATTATTAGAAAAATTCTATCTATGGATCGTTTAATATTTATCCTGACACTGATTCAGACGAAAATAGATCCACCAATCACAATCGCCTTTACACATTGCCTTACTTTACCAAGTATTGCCAGGTAAAAATGCCAGTACGAGACCTAGGATGGGGTCATTGGATCTTTGGCTAACTGTACATGTAGTTTATATGTCATTTTAGAAGAAGTGTTTGTCAGATATGTCAAGGTATTTTGTTGTGACTGTCCACTTTCACATTCTGCTGTCTGATTTTTTTCCCACCCTGTAATGTTGTTATGATTAAAGGTATTTTAGTAAACTTGCTATCATATGTTCCAGTCCTAAATGTTATGTCATACAAGTACAGTCCCCCACAAAAGTATTGTTAGCCATGAAGTTGATGTGATATGAGGCTTTCCGAGCAATTTTGTTCGGCCTGTTTCTGAACGGTTGGTAGCTCTACATCTGCATCCTTTGAGCATGAATGAGTATATGTACATGTATTACATGACTCAGAGTGGATGTCATAAATGGATACCAACACCAGGCCAGTCATCAATGGGATCTTACATCAAATGGAGCGAGGAATTATCGGGGAAACATTGCATGATGTGAGAGGTGCTATCATTGCCTTTCACAATGAGGGTACCGTATAAAAATTATAATGATAATAATTAACGGTTTATTGAAAGAACTTGGCAGCCAGAAGGCTGAAAATATACAGTATATGCAGTGTTGTACGCGTCAACGAAAAAAAAGTGGTGGCGCCAGCGTCAGCGGCTGAGAAATTTGATGCCGTCAGCGTCGGTGTAAACGATTTCATAAATTGACGCCGTTAGTGTCAGCGTCAACACCTTGCGTCAACGAGTTTTCAGTGACGCACAAATGCAGCCCCGAAACGCGTATTCTCTTGTGTATGGGAGTAACATATGCAAAATCAAAAAATATTCATTCATTTTTAATCATTCATTATGATTTATATAATGTACTATATATCATTTTAATTATTCATTTATTCCCCGCAAGAATATTAGCATCTCAAATGCTTGTCACTCATTCTGCTGTGCTTGGGCCTCAAGATGTCCTTGCCCGTGGAGAACATGCGCTCCACGGTAGCACTAGAGAGGATGGGGGTGTTGTATTTGATGAACAACTCCCTCATGGCCTTGTCGGTCGTTTTTAAGACAAGATAATTGAAAATTGAACTTGGAAAAATCGAAAATCTTAGAAGTTGACGACCAAATTGACGCTTGACGCTTGACGCTCCACTCGGGTGAAAAGTTGACTTCGTCACCTGCCCAAAAAATTTATGGAGTCAATGTTAACAAAAAATTGCTGCCGTCCATTGACGGTGTTAAATTAACGGCGTCAACGTACAATACTGTGTACAGCTCCTCCCCAACTTATGACGGGGTTAGAGACAGGCATCCAGGTCGTAAGTCAGAAATGCTTAAATAATACATATAAAATCTAAAATGGGTGTCTCTTTTTCTTCTCAGCACCACAAAACACTCACTTATAAGCTTGCCAGCCATTTTAAAGTGAATTACAAACGAAAATTTTGTCTGTGTACTGACATTGGGACTTGAAAATACGTAATTTGACCAACTTTTGGTACGACTGAGGCAGGTCGAAAGTGCGGGTGGTCGTAAGTCGAGTAGGTCATAAGTCGGGGAGGAGCTGTATATGTAATGCTGAGATAGTACGGCGATTTGGGGTGACTGAACCCACAGTATCACGATGGGTTACCGTAGGTGCCATGAAACAGCTGGTGCCACACTGAAACTTACAACAACAAATGTCTTGCTATAGTTTGCATGCAATTCCATTGATTTTTACCCTTATTTTGGTGTTAAACTAATGCAATTTACATATCAGTAACATGGCAGATCCCATATAGACCAATATATTGTATATTGTTGTAGCTGTTCACTCTCATCTCAAGTACTATTTGTTTAGTCACTCTTCATAAATCAGACATCGTGAACATGAGTAGGCATATTGTGAAACTCAGTATGAATAAACTGTTAGTACAACGATTTAATGGTGAAATATCCGTTTTGAGGTCTCAGTCTCAGTTATGATGTTCCGAAACATTTCCATTTAATGTATATTTCAGTGTTATTGTAATCATCAGTGGCTTGTTTACATATGCCTTGCTTCTACCCAGTATGATACATGCATTAATATAGCTTAATGGATTTCTTGTTATATTGTAGTTTATTGAAGTATCTAGTATGCCCTACAAAGACAACTCGCTCCCCCAATCCTACCCCATCTCTAGCTGTTGCTGATATGGTGAGCAGGCTTACCAACTTATGATGATGCATTGGGGATCATACCAAAGCATTTCATCAAGCATTTTAAATTGTAGTGACAGAAAATCTAATGATACTTTTTCGGGGGACTGTACATGAAATTTTGTGCCTGGATATTAGCAACACTTTCTAAAAGCTGGAAGTTATGAATTTTTAATAGTTGAGCTAGTTCCCACTGTTGCATTAGATATTCGTCAGTGAGATGAGGACTTTTTTTTATCTTAAACTGAGACAAAGTAAGATTAGTCATGTAATGAAGGAGTAGTTTTTCCCTAAGATTGAAAGTACATAGTTGTTCAGCGGTCTCAGTGGGTACTTTCAACAATTAACAAAGTAAATGATTATGGTTACTTCCTGTACCACCACAAATACAGATAATTTAGCTAGTTAGGAGCACTGTGTTGTGAAGACCCTGCCCCCATTGTATTCATTAGATTTCTGACTTGTACTTTTAATTGTGTTGTTTCATAATAGGTCTGTGCCTGTGTGGATATCATGGGGATAAATATCAGTTTATTGGAAGTTTGCATACTATTCATACTAAACATACACATTACTGTAGTTTCATGTATACATCATTCATACATTTAGGAGACAGGTCACTTAACAGTTTGAGGACAATAGTACTTTAGTTTGGTATATACTTGTGTTAAATTCCTTCTTTTGATAATAAAGGACATGATTAGCAAGTTGCCCAATGATATAACATCTTCATTTACTAGTGTATAGTACTGAACCTGTATTGGGCTGCTGTAGAAATTATTGCCTCATTTCTTTTGTAGAGTGGACACAGCATTCTATTTGTTTAACTAGGATTTCTCTAATATCAGTGGCATTTGGAAGTTTTAAAGCAGCACCACAGTACAAAGGATTCAATCAATGAACATTTTGTTGGCAAAGATCTGTTTTACAAGGTATGTTAACGTATGGAACCTGGAAACTTTAAAGTGATCTTTTATTATTATTTGTGTTTCTTGTGTGTAAACTGATGGAGTGAATGTGGAAGTTCTGATAAGCCTCTTCATACTCCACCTCATAGAGTACTGAATAAAGAAGTTCTCATACTCCACCTCACAGTGTTCTAAATATAGAAGTCCTCATACTCCACCTCATGGAGTACTGAATATAGAAGTCCTCATACTCCACCTCATAGTGTTCTAAATATAGAAGTCCTCATACTCCACCTCATAGTGTTCTAAATATAGAAGTCCTCATACTCCACCTCATAGAGTACTGAATATAGAAGTCCTCATACTCCACCTCATCGAGTACTGAATATAGAAGTCCTCATACTCCACCTCATCGAGTACTGAATACAGAAGTCCTCATACTCCACCTCATAGTATTCTAAATATAGAAGTCCTCATACTCCACCTCATAGAGTACTGAATATAGAAGTCCTCATACTCCACCTCATAGTGTTCTAAATATAGAAGTCCTCATACTCCACCTCATAAAGTACTGAATATAGAAGTCCTTCTACTCCACCTCATAAAGTACTGAATACAGAAGGCCTCAAACTCCACCTCATAGAGTACTGAATATAAAAGGCCTCATACTCCACCTCATAGTGTTCTAAATATAGAAGTCCTCATACTCTTCATACTTCACCTCATAGCATACTGAATATAGAAGTCTTCATATTCCATCTCATTGATTACTGAATGTGGAAGTCCTCATAATCTATCTCATTTAGGTTGGAATGGAGGTAAGGAAATGAAAATACATTAAGTATTGTTTTGCTATGTGTCAATGCTATGGGGAGAGCTCTTACTTAAATGTTTTATTATTTAGAATAGAAATATTACTGTGTGATTGAAATACAAACAAGTGAGTATCTAGAGGGTTTTTGATTGAACAAAGGCAATGAAATGGTGTCACTTAAGATTGTGATGTGAGCGAGCTCCTCATTATGTGTTACCGAGTGATTTGCATTTAGCCCACAGTTTAACAATAATGAATGTATTTTTATAAAGAAACTTCTGTCTGTTTGATTGTTTTATACTAACAGCATATTGAAGGAGCAAAGTCTGACATGTTTGAGAAGCTTGCACTAACTGTTATTCTTTTCTTCTGCAGTTCTCAATTGTCTTCGTTTATCAACTTCAGAAGTGACACTCAAATTAAAAACCGGTGAGTTATCTTCTTTTATTGATCTATCCTAATGTCTAGGAACAGATTAATTCACCTTTACTGTTTGTTCATTTAATTTGTTAAAGATTGCATTTTGTTTTCAATACATTAAAATTTCAGCTTTTAATACTGATTATCTACTTACAGATGCAGGTATTCAGCAGCGTGTACAACAGTACCTAGCAACACCAAATAATCCTGATGTCTTACGAACAGCAATTACTCAGGATGATCTTCAGGGTGTAAAACACATCAAAGCCAAAAAGTCTTCAAGTAGAACACCACCTGAGCAGTCATCTTCAACACCTCCATCTTTACCAAGTCCCACACTTTCTGATGCCTCTGACAGAACATCCATCAGCCATGGTTCAAACCATACAGCATCTGAGAACGGTTTGCACATGAAAGATAGAACGACAACTGAAAATGAGCGCAACAAGAAGAAACCCAAAAGTGAAGCGTACTTGATGACAGGTGACCTTATCTTGAATCTCTCACGGACTTCCCATGATCCCAGTTGGCTACCCCAGCAGAAAACTGTTGATGATTTGAGAAAATTTGGTAGCTCAAGTGTTCCCACAAGTCCTAATGAAACGGACATTTGTGGTGGCAGGCTAGCCAAACATGAAGTGGGAAGTCCGCAGAGTTTGTGTTCGCCTGTGTCTGTTGATAGTAATGCTAGTGGTGTGCAATTTACTTACCCCCCAACCAGCACTTCTGTGAGAATATCCAAGTCGGAAGACCACTTGCAGTACCAGAAGGATAATATGTGTGCAGTTAATATAGAGCTTGATGATGATGTGACGTCTTCACTAAACACCCTTCTAGATACCTGTGATGATAATAGCTCTTCCCCTGTTCCCCATGAGGACCGTGACCGCCGTATTGTATGGACCTTTAATGCCCCTACTTCCCCTGACAGTGTTCACTCGAGTCATGACTCTGACAGTCCCCTAATCAGGTCTCCCTCCCCTACCTCTCCCCAGTCTCCAACGTCCTCCATGCAGTATTCATGTAGCGGAGTGTACGATAAAATGTGTAGTGGGCGTGATTCGCTTGGCAGCTCTAACAGATCTGATAATGTTTGCTCTAACAGCTCTAGCCTAACTAGTCCGGACACAGATGTGCCTGATGAACTTGAATGGGACGATACAACTCCAACTTTACACATCTCTTCAGCTTATGGTAATAGTTTTAGTACCAAAGATTTGCTTCCCAACGGTCACAATATGGGTGGTGTAATGACATCTGAGAATAGAGGCCTTGTCTCTGAAAAAAATAAAGTAAGGAAACAAGACGAAAATCGTATTGTGATTAAAGTTGAGGGACCTGATAAGAAAAGTAATAGAAAACGGCCTCAGCATTTACAAAAAAGTGGTGAGCCACTTCATCATGAGCACCAGGACAATAATGATGCTTTGCGTGACCCTGATTTAACACCCACTAATACTCGCCCACCCACCCCTGGCTCAGGCACCCTCTCCCCAGATACCCTTGCTTATCAGGAGTTGCGTGAATCTGAGGATGAAATTACATGTCTTTCAGAAGAAGATGGAACAGGCAAGGCTTCCATACGAACCTCAAGCACCACTTCTCCTCCTCTTAGTGAGGATGAGTCTGACATTGACTCCCTACACAGCTTTCACTACAGTCCCAAGGCTGTGGACATCCCGTCTGCAGTCAGATTGGCAAAACGACTTATCACCCTTGATGGTTTCAAGAAATCTGATGTCTCCAGACATCTTTCTAAAAAGTAAGATAGCCTACGTAAATTATGTCTTTATATTTTCTTATTTTTTGGCTGTTTTCTTTATATTATTCATATATTTAGGTGTAGTTGTTGAACTGAAGTTTTACACACACACACACACACACACTTGCCCTGCCCCTGCCCTGCCCCCGCCCACCCCACACCCACCCCACCCCACCCCACCACCCCACACACACCCACCCACCCACCCCACCCACCGGGGGATACTGTGCTAGGGGGCAGGGAAAAAACACTTTTATTTGAGTTGCAGGCTGCACTTTTCAGGCATCGTTTGTATGGCTGTAACAAACACCTGTGCAAAATTTCATGCCATTTCATGCATACTTACCCTGCCGCATCGCGAACGACTTTTTGTCAACTTTTAGTGTATACCAAAAATTAGGTGTCATTTAATGTTTTCCAGGATAATGATAAATTTTACATGGGTGACATCGATTTAATTCACATGTTATTTTACAGGTACACCGTATAGAAAATCATTACAAGTTCATATTGAAATTCTTTTTTGTGCGGAACCTTGGCATCATTTTCCTAGACAATAATCTTTGCCTAATATATCCATCTCTCGATTCGTATCCCGTCACTTCAGTGCAAGCTTCAGTCATCACTTTTATGCCTCTCTCGACCGCCTGAGTGCTGTTTGGCCACTTGGGCACCACTAATGGTGTCTCAAGAATGTCATTAACCTGTAGATTTGACAGAGAAGCAATGTAAGGAGGCTCAGTCTTGAGTTCATTCCTCCAGTTAATTATGGAATGATAGTTTTTTGCTTGCCACTTTAGTTTCGGAGTCACCACCTTTCTCATGTTGACTACAGGAGGCACATCCTCATTCCCATCTCCATCTTTACCCTCCTCATCAGTATAGTTTAACAAATTCTCGTCAACAGCAGCATCAGAATCTTCCTCCTCCTCTTCAGATCTGCCAGTGCATTCTTCCTTTTGCTGATTCTCCTCTCTAATTTTTCTTATCATTGAGACAGCTTTTTCTCTAACAGTCATGTCCTCATCTGCACACATACCAAGAAGAAGTTGATCTGTGTGGGCGAAGTATGCATTTCTCTGGACAGCCTTCTTCACTATCGTCTCCTCCTCACTATTCAGGTGTTTCATATATAGCAGGGACTGGAATACGTTCCTTGAGCCGTGTGTTACGTAAGGGTGTGTCTTGATGTAAAACCACATTGGAGCACTGAACTTTATTATTGTAATGACAATTCTTTTCAACTCATGGCTGGGTCTTGATGTTGCTACATACAGCCTGAGGATTCTACTCCATAAGGTGTTCCACCTTGACACACAGGGAGGACCTGGCTCAATAGCAGCCAAGTCATCTTCAACAACACCTGTGATAACTCCTTTACAAATCCTATACAGGTATTTCTGATCCCAGGACAGATCTTTCTCCACTTCATCATTAAACACAGGGAAATCAGGGAAACTGACTGGCTGGAAGGCGACAACTGGAAGCTCAGACAAAGACTCCTTGATCTGCTTTCCAATGGGACCACGCCAATGCTCAGGACCACTTGGTTTACCATCATAGTGATAAAAAACTGCGCGGAAAGGCAGCTCATTTCCGTGAAGCTGACATATGAAATAATGGAGCGGGTGACCAAGTAACATTTCAAGATGATGAATGACTCCATTTTCTGATCCTACATTTACATTGGTTCCATCACAACCAACACACACAATGGGCTGCTGGGTTAGATTTTTCTCCACCAGAAACTCGTGAATAGTTTTGGCAATCTGCTTTCCGTGTCCAGTCTTGGGAGTCACATGTGTGAGATATTCATTGCCAGGCTCAACCATGATGACATAATGATCTTTCACCATCATCCTCGAACTCCATTTCTCGGTCTTCTCATTCTTTATCATCACACGAGTGGCGGTCTTCTTACCATCAAAATAGAGTGACGTCAAATTATCTAAACTAGCCATCTCAATTTCTTGCCTCTTAAATCGGTATTTTTGTCTCGCATCCCGCAGCTTATGTGGTCCAATAACCTGACTCTTGTCATCCTTTGTGATAATGCCATAGTCAGTTAAGGTGGCAGTAGCAATGGCAGCTCCAGCATAATCACTAATCAAGTATCGGTCACAAGCTTAACGGTAACTATTTGAATAATTTCAAGTGCGCCAACTTACCCAGGTCTCCCCTACATTACAGTACAGTAACACAACATTGAGAAATGAAATGAGAAAAGGCTGATAATCAATATAGACATAGCACCATACTCATCTGCAACAAGACAACTTAAATGAAATAAGAGATATGAAAAAAAAAGTTGATAAACACTGAACAGAACATTGCACCGCCACAGCGGCTGTTTGGCTAGTACTGTAGGTAAATTAAAAAATTTCAGTAGAAAATGCGGCAGACTAAACCTCGACATATCAGCTTCAAATTTGGCATGGAGTCTTAGATATGTATAAGGAACAATGCCTGAACAGTGCAGCTTTGAGCAAAATTTCACTGCCCCCTACTGTGCGTGATGTTTTCAGACAGGAAAAACTGGAATTGATAGGTATTTACAATACACTGTATAGTAGTAGAAGTCCTCATATCTGAGGAGACCCATTCTCAAGACCTTGTGGAATGATACTTTTATTGGTGTCTTGAAGTTCCCTCACATGTGCTTCATTTTCTTGAAAGTAAGAGGGTCCCATGGGCTTGGCTGGTTATTAGGTACACATTACAACATTGTATAGTACTCAATAAACCTTTGGTAGCTACACAAGGAGGCACTATAGTCAGTGCTGCACCTCCCCAACTGTAAAGTTAGAGACCCATGTACAACTGAACCCTTACGACAAGAGGTAAGTACTGTATTATTGTATCTACTTGGCTGCTGCACTTACTTAAACAGTACTGTATACAGTACAAAAATTATGGACACTAATCATGCAAATAAAGTGACAGGAAAATAGAAAAGTGTTGCAATAGAAATAAAATGATATTACAGTATGCACAAGTTTTAAACTGCAGGATATGTCACCTGTGTACAGTACACATGGTGTTTTTTTACTCAAGTGCAGGGGTCTTAAGGTTGTGCCATTGACTGTACCGGGGAGAGAAGAACTTACTGGTATTATATGATGTCTGCAGCTTTCTTAGCATTACTAACAACCATGTGTTTATGCTTTGATACCCATTTGAGAGCCATGATGAACTGGAAACAATTACCAGTGGATAAATGTAACAAAAACACGTTCACTACAAACATGCACACATATTGTATTGTGGGTACAGTATCATGAGGTCCGAGACAAAGGGACACATCAGTTGTGGTGACCTGTACCCAAGCTCCTGTAATTAGGCTGGGAAGATTATGTTGGAGTTTTACTTGCCCAGTACTACTGTATATACTGACATACAAGACGACTTTTGAAGCTTAAAAAAGACCCCCAAAACTTGGGGTTGTCTTAAATGCCAAGTATAAAATGTGAACCTTAAATCCTACAGCCTAGGTCAGTCCCATGGGTGGAGAGATCGTCGGCTAACACCCATCTAACTTCTACCACTAATATTTTGTCCCTAAACTTATGTTTGCTGAACCTAATTAACATAGAAATAATAATATAATAAAAATGCAGTGTAATGAAACTTGTCTTACCTTAAATAATATGTGAAAGGACTGTATGATGATTATAAACTGCAAAGCCATCAGAGGGAACTCCATACTACACGCCATTTGCAACACTTGATGTACTGGGTATCATAATGTTGTAAAGTTGTAAACAGATGTTGCGAATGGTCTTACCAAGATAGTTTATACAGTAGGGTCGGGATATACAGCATCGCGACTTTATATAACAGATTTTTTTATATCCTGGCTACCAAAAGTATCGACATTTTCCTATATACGTATAGCAATAATTTTTTTTATTTTGCAAGGGAAATTGGGCAGGAAATATTTCAAATGTACCGCCATGGCAAACAAATGCGTTATTTGCTCACCAGAGGCGCCACCGTGGCTGCTCACTTACGCAATCACGCAATGAAGTCAAATGATGGTCGTACAAGCGTAAATCGGGCTGTGAATCACTTCTCGATTATTATTTGGTGTCATAAAGTCACAAAAAATTGGTAAACTTAATTTAATCTGAGTTGTGTTGTGTTAGGTTAGATTAGATTAGATTAGATTAGATTAGATTAGATTAGATTAGATTAGATTAGATTAGATTAGGTTAGGTTAGGTTAGGTAGGTTAGGTTAGGTTAGGTTAGGTTAGGTTAGGTTAGGTTAGGTTAGGTTAGGTACATGCACTTGATCTATTAACTCAGATTAAATGAAGTTTACCAATTTTTTTTGACTTCGTGACACCAAATACTAGTCGAGGTTAGGTTAGGTTAGGTTAGGTACATGCACTCGATCTATTAACTCAAATTAAATTACGTTTTCCAATTTTTTTTACTTTGTGACACCAAATACTAGTCAAGAAGTGATTGGTGACCCGATTTATTCATGTAGGACCATTATTTGACTTCATTGCGGCTACATTTGGGTAATTAGTCGGACCCGATATATTGTATTATAATTTAAGTGCCATAGTTTAGCAGACACATGTACATTTTATACAAAGGTGGACAATACTTCATGAGAACTGGAATGAGTAGATAAGGAAGTACAGTACTGTACTGTACTGTACATTACTCTAGAAGAATAAGAAAAGTTCTTCATGATAGGTAAATGAATGAATGGGTGGATGACTTAAGTAATATAGAGAGTAAAAATATCAAAATTTCAGGTAAAAAGAACATAAGTTAAAAGAAACGTGTGTCATAGGGGGTCCCCAACTTATGAACGTCCGACTTACGAATGCCCACTGAAATGAAATGGGTTAAACTTGAAATTTATTGTATTTTATTTACCTGATGACATATTTTTTACTTTCATTTGCTGTATTTTGTCATTCTATTTCTTCTTTTTGTCTTAAATTAAGTGATTTTAGATGTATATAAGGACTTAGGCTATGATATAGTGGGATTTTAAACATTGTTCTGTTAGCACGGTATGCACGTAGCTTGTGTTCCAACTTAAGTACAAATCCGACTTAAGAACGTCCTCAGGAACGGAACCCATTCGTAACCCGGGGACCCCCTGTACATCAGTTTGTATCTTTGTACATACTCCCAGTTCAGATTTGGATAGATGTGCAGGCAGGGCCGTCCCTAGGAGGGTGCGAGGCCCGGGGCAACTCAGCCACTGCGGGGCCCCAGAAAATATATATATGGAGTCAGATTATGCGGTCAGAGGAACCCACCTCCACCAACCCCCATGGGACTGTCGCTATGGATGGTAAGGTCACGGTTGCGATGGTGGCGTAAGCCGTCAGGTCAGATTAACCAGTCAACAGGTAATGTGTCCGAGGTCACTGGGTCTAGTGCTGGGCCCCGGGCGGTCGCCCCTGTTCGCCCCCCCTAAAGGACGGGCCTGTGTGCAGGGTATTTGTCAGTAGGTACAGAGAAGATGGAGTAGAGATGAATATAATTGATAAAAAAATTTATTATAAGAAAATTATACTTGATAAATATTCAGTATAAAGTCTGAGATTGATACAGTTTGGCTAAGAGCATATTAACTTAAAATGGTCCCAGAGGGAGACTGATGGCTGTAGGGGGAGTGTTTAAGAGTTCAGCCATATTTCATTATCTTCTTTAAACCTCCTTTGATTCCAGGTGACTGCATTTGATTCATCCATTCATGATTTGGATATTCTCCAGGATTAGATATTGGAGTTTCACTGCAGATTATTAAAAATGAATCACCAATGAAAAAGAAAAAAGAATGAAATTTTCCTGTTTGTAAACTTTGTGTTTCCTTTGTGTTTTTGCTACTATAAGCTGTCTGGCCATTCATTATACATTTTTAGTGCCCCAAGCATTTTGAATGGATCGGACACAATATTAGTTGTATTGTATTTCATTTTTTTTTAGCTGTTCCTTTTAATATTTTCAGCAATGAATTCAGTAGAGCGGTTGCTGAGGAGTACCTCAACTACTTTGATTTCCGAGGTGACACCCTGGATAAAGCTCTTCGCAAATTTTTAGACAAATTTTGTCTAGCAGGCGAAACTCAGGAGAGAGAACGTGTCTTAGTGCATTTCTCTCATCGATTCTTAGAATGTAATCCTGGAACCTTTAACTCACAAGGTAAGTACCAAGTGGATATATGTGTAGATACCTGGTACCAAAAATATTTTGCTTAAACTATATTGTAAGGACAGGCAGGATATAAAACAGTTTGTCTCTGTGGTAGAATTGAAATTTCTAATATGAGAGTAGCAATTGCTAATGATGATAATAATTACCATATATGTACAGAAGTTCAGTATTTCTTGGTGAATATATTGAAAGGTAATTATTACTATGCAAATCCTTTATGCTTTTGCTGACAGTCATTTGGGAATCTTAGATACAAGCAGTACAGGTATCGCTTGCTATATGAACATTTGAGATACAAAAATTCGCTGATACAATTTTCCTAAATTACCATCTCTTTCACATTACGGGGAGGCACATCCCCTTAGCACTCTCCCTGCCAGGCTGAGGTAGGAGTTATCCAGTACTGTACTACTGTAGTAATATCTGTTAGCCAGAATCCCTCTTAGCCGGAACTCTCCAATAGCTGGAATCGAAATTTGCTTGGAATTTTTCCAGAAAATTTCTCTCAATTCTGAGTTTGGGAACAATGTTCCGAGGTTAAAAATCAGGCGAATTTTCTTGAAAATTCCAAGAAAAATTCCAAAAAACTCTCTCCAATTTTTTTTCTTCTGGGTCTGGGAGCAAATTCTGAGGATGAAATAATATGTAATTCAAGAAATTTCAGGAAATTCTCCAATTTTTCCCCTGGGTCTGAAAGCAAATTCCGAGGATGAAATAATGCGCAATTTCCTGAAATTTTTGAGAAACTTTTCCCTGTACAGGTATACCCGGAAAAATTCAGGGGGTGGGGTAATTTTTCCGGATTTGAGAGAACGTTGTTTCGTCACCCAGAAATTTCTTATTTCCTCAAGTGCTGTGCACCAATTGTTCCGGTAATGAGGATATCATTGTATTGATGCTTATTTTGCAACTTTTATTTTTGGGTAGATAAACATAACTTTCTTCATATTTTTTTATTCAGTTACATGCACACACAATCCTATTTACAGAATGTGTAAAAAATTATAAAAAAGAATAATTATCAAAAGGTCAAAAACATAAAGGGAATAAACATTTCTTTGTGCGTCAGATGGAGTTAGCAGGATGAGCCGGGGGAGTTATGTTGCTGTTATTTTTTAACTACTAATTTTGGGTACGGTAGATAAACTATCTTTCTTCACTTTTTTTATTCAGTGCACATGCACACAATCCTACATATGAGTACATAATGTGCAAAAAAATGAGTACACAATGTGCAAAAAAAAAGTACAAGAAAAAGCTATCATAAGGCAAAAACATAAAGGGAATAAATATTTCCTTGTGTGTAAGAGCGGGAGGGAAAGCGTTGCTAAGGGTTGGCAGCGGCGGCCGGGTTGCTATGACGAGGTTGAGGGTGGCCACTCATGATACAGCCAACATGTATTCAAATAGCTTCTGTGTTAAAATTTCATATTGCACTTCCTTTATAGTTTTAGCTGCATGGTTTCATTTAAATACAGAAGTATTTTATTAATGTTTTCAATGTGTTAGGTAGTATATTACAGTAATTGTGTACTATTTATCTTTAGTTAGGTAGTGTTTTTTTTTTTTTTTCAAACTGATTCCATGTTTTGGGGTTTTCTTGTCATTGGGAACCGAACCCTATTTTTTCCCATATGTTCTTTTATTTGCCATACAAAAATTCACATAATGAATGGTTTTTCAGGAACTTAACCCATTCAACTCACCTCCCGCACTCGTCAACCCGCAATCCCTTTATAATGACAGTACAGTACGCAATTTCACCATAATTCCCACATTATTTAGACTCATTTGGTGCCAGGTTAATGAAACCTTATCGAAAAATAATCAATTTTCCCCCAAAAATCCCACACTCAATCCCAGAGTGGTAACAACTGATCGTTCCTCCTAACAATGTTGCCAACACTAACCATCTCTCAAGCACCATTGTTGTCACTGCTCAAGGGGGTTGGTGCTTACCACAGGATCTGTCTTGATCACTCAGTAAATAATAAAGTAGAAAATTTATCAGTAATATTTAATAAATATTATTGTAGTGTATAATGCATCTCCATACGCCCAGGTTTATTCACTGATTAGTTGTCCAAGTGCAAAAGTAGTCAAATCAAGCCATCATGTATCAGTTAATTTTAAAATAAAAACTAGAAATTAAAATCAATAAGACAATGGTGTAGTAGTGCTGTTAATGTGTGCTGTGTAAATGCCTGTGTAAGTGCCTTACCTCACCACTTGCCTCGTCACCTCACCTCTCGCCTCATTGTTTCACCCCTCGCCTCATTAGCTCGCCTCAGTGTCACAATTATTTATTACTGTATTATTTACTTTATTATTACTTTATTTGCATTTAAAAAAAAATTTTTGCACAGTAATTATAAATAGATTATTTTATGTTGCAACCAAGGCATGGCACAAAACTGAACAGAAAACAAATGAATAATTGAACACAAAAATTCAGAAATTGTTGATTAATGTTTAAATACATTAGGATCTCAAATTTCGCAACTAATTGGTACTGTTTTTAGCATCTTGAAAATGAAAATCGCAAAATGAGTAACATTGAAATACATGTAAATAAGCCTAATTGGTTCCCGGTCAGTAACCCGAACCCCCCTGTAACGACCTACAACCCACCCAGAAAATGACATTATTGTAATGTACTGTCTTCATACATATTTATATTGTACATATTGTTGATAACAATATTTATATACAGTACACTCGTACTATAAAATAACTGACTTGATGGAGTCAGTGAAATGCTTGGCAGGGTTGGTTGATGGGTTCCGAGGCAGGGAAGGCTGGTTACTGCTTCCTCCTTGCTCCCTCTTCTACACCTCCTCACCTCAGCATCAAATCCCTCAACGTCTTGAGGCAGCTCTTCCATCAGTAAGTCACCCAACACTTCACTATCATCATCGGTGGTGCCATCATCATCTCCTAAAGTGATGTTTGCCAAGGCATTAACAGGCTGGGCCTTACACAGTACCGAGTAATAAGGGCCTGCTGACGAGCATTAACATGGGACATGTACATGGCCTTATATTCCTCCATAACCTTATCAATGACAGGGCAGACATGGTTCAGCGCATGAGACATGGTCTCATATTCTTCTAGCTGTTCACAGAAACATGTGATGGTTGTGAGCAACTCAGTCAGCTGGCGTGTTGTAGGTCTACCAGGTTTAACGTCATCTTCTTGCTTGCAGTTCTTCTTGTTTTTCATCCTTCTCCAAAATTTCTTCAATTGTCGGTTGCTGCATTTTTTATATTATATTTCTTCCAAGACGCACAAACTGATAACATTTCATGGTTGTGGGGTGGTGAGGTGCTAGGAGTCGGGTCGTCTACTATCTTCTTCCCCTCCTCCTCCTGGTTTGCTGGTACTGGTAGAGCCTGGTCACTGTCAGAGAGTTCTGTTGTAACTCAACTAATGAGTCTGTCTGCTAATGAAAGTCTTTATAGAGTGACTGATAGTGAACAGTTTAACATTACTGATGAATTCGTGGTCAAGCGGCTGCAGAAGCAATGTGGTGTTAGGAGGAAGGAAGATAACTTGTACATTAGGGTGGTGTCCAATTAGAAACTTAGAGTGTCCAGGAACATTATCCATCACCAGGATCACTTTAAAGTCAGTGTTCTTCCTCCGGCAGTACCGTTGGGCGTCAGGAACAAAGTGCTTGTCAAACCAATTGGTGCATAAAGACATTGTAACCCAAGCTTATTAGACATCCAATAACCATTGAGCTGCAACATATTGGCATGACGGTAGGCTCTTGGACGGGCAGTACGGTTAACAACCAGGGGTTTCATCAAGAAATCTCCACTTGCATTAGCTGTGAATAAAACTGTAATCCTGTCCTTTGAAGTCTTTACACCCCTTCTCTGTTTTCATCCTTGGTAATGAAAGTGGTCTTCTGTGAGCACTTCTAGAAAATGCCAGTTTCGTCACAATTGAAGATCTGGTCTTGGCAATAACCACCCTCTTTCACAAGAGCTTGAAAGACAGGTAGATATTTTTCTGCTGCTATGACTTCAGCTGATGCACTCTCCCCATGGTAGTGGGCAAACTTGACTTCATAACGCTTCTTAAAAGCAGCCAACCAACCAATAGAAGCATTGAACGGTGGTGGAGAGTTAATGCATTTCTTCTGTGCAACTTCAGCATAATAAACATGTGCTTGATGCCTTATCTGTGGCGGTAATATTCTGTGATAACAAGCAGTAGGTTTCGTTGTGAAGTATCGGAGAACGTCCTGTTACTCGAAAGTCTTGAGAGTACATTCACAGAAGCAGTTAAGGCTTCCTTGTTTTTCTTAAGGGAACGTATGGTTGATTGGGGGCAGTTGAACCTACGCATGCTTTCACAGGTACGAGCACTACTTTTGATCATCTTGAGCATCTCTCGTTTCATTTCAAGGGGGTATTTCCTCTTCTTGACCCCCCTTATAGTAGTCAGGCTTGGCTTGGGGTTTTCCTTGTTGACCTTCTCTACGGCCATTATTACCACCAGAACTGCTCCCAACATTTACAATATGCACCTCACTCATCATTAATACACAATAATCTCACAAAATGTAAGCACAATGTGTTATATAATGCAAGGTTACTGCACCGCTTGCTCTCGCTCATTCAGACTAACTGCCATATACAAAAAAACGGCGGACAACAAAGGACCGTGACAATACGTGCTGCCCACTTTCCATTAACTCAAGAATCTGGTAATGAAAATCGTTATTTATTTTTGAGAGGCTGGAAATTTTAAGTCATACGCTAAACATATGAATCGTGAATCTAAAACTCGCTAAACTTGAGATCCTACTGTATTCCGTACTCGGTTAATTTGGATTTTTTGGTAATGCGAGTGACCCTGAGCCCCTTTTTTGTTGAATTAACAGGTTATATTTTTTATGGATTTTTAGTTTTTTAATACCTGTATTTTTATTTAACCAAAGTTTTATATAAATTTTTCAGGATTATTTGGGTAAAAAATGGTGTTTCTAACTTACGATTTTTCATAAAAGAATTTAGTCCCCATCATTATATCGTGTCAAAATATTGGAACAGTCTTGTATAGAATTTTATGCAGGATCTTTATGGTACCAAATTTCTCTCTCATAACAATTAGAACAGATGCTGTGAACAAAAGTTAATACACTTTTTCACTAGCCGTAAATATATATGCTTGTAGCTCCCAAACTCAACCTCTCATGAGTTATTACATGGTATTAAATTCCTGGTTCATTATTGACATAGTGTGGTCACAGTCAGTCCAGTGCTTGCCTGTCTCCGTGTTGGTGTATTGACACAACCCACATGAAATTTTGAGAAGGAAAGGAGAGCTGTTTATGAAAAATATAAATACTTTTTGTACAATATATACTGTATGTGTTCCTGTATTATTTTTGTATTATGTATGATGCTTAGTGTTCATTAAAGCAGTTTTGGAACAGTTTATGGGTACCGTATCTCTTGGCCTCTTGAACGAAACTAATTACTGTACAGGGGGATTTCCATTTAAATCAGTTAAAATATAATTAATGATTTGATAATTTACGATGTCGTCTGGTACCTAACCCACATATTATCAAGATTCCACTGTACTGTAAGCCAACATTCTTTTGAAGACTAAGTAAAAGATCACTATACCATTTTGTTACAGATGCTGTCCACACCTTGACCTGTGCCCTGATGCTGCTCAATACTGACCTTCACGGGCAGAGTGTTGGACGTAAGATGACCTGTAATGAGTTCATTGACAACTTGGCAGACTTAAATGATGGGGAGAATTTCCCGAGAGAAGTACTGAAGTCTCTCTACCATGCAATGCGAAATCAACCACTACAGTGGGCTACGTATGTGATATTGGATATAGTCTTAGAGTTATTTAATGCACCACTAAACATTAAGATTAATGTTAAGTTAACCCTTAAGTGATGGCGAGTTTTTTTGTAGACTATATGCTTTGATGGGGATTGATGAGAGAAAAAAATTGGGTAAAATTATAAAATTTTCCTTTGAAAAGGACAAGATTTGCTTACTGAATGCAGTGGTGAAATCGGATGTGCTGTGCACCTAACAATAGCCATGAAAAATGGAAGTGAAGATTCTGCATATGTGACCAGGTAGGAGTTTGGGAGGAATCAGGGCGTTGATGTGCACGCCAGCTTCTTAATTGCTTTTATTACTAATTCATTATTATTTTTTCGTATGGTCAGCCTTTTATGGTGTATAATTTATCATAAAAGAGAATACTCCCTCAATATTTAAAGAAATGCAATATATAATTTGTAATTTGATCTGAAAATAAAAGGATAAGCTGTATCGGAAGGTATCACTTCCCAGACCCTCTCTTCTTCCTGGGATGTTTTAGGCTCGTGAAAATTTTCAATAAGACAAACTATTTATTATGATGAGAAGTAAAATAAATAAAATATCATGATTAAATAAGTGTAACATATATATAATATACAGTTATATACAAAATTAATAGGCCTGGGCATACAAGGAATGTAAATTTCAGTTGCGACAACACGTGCCAGTACCTGTCCATTTGCTTGCCAAACACAGGTGTCCTCAGATGGTGGTATTTCTTCTAGTAGGGTAATCATAAAGAACAGGTTTATGGGCATGGGACATCATCATGGTAAGGATTATAAACAAACAAAAGTTCATTCACGGTGTTGTACTGTGCCATCATTTTTCCATAATGATTTTGTGGTTGTGGTCCAAATTATTGCCACTACTCCAGTCTCCTGCACCAAAAATACCTCGTGTACATATTGGTGATGTACACCTACCTCACTTTCCTCCAGGTCTCTAAGCATGTCTTCTTCACTGATGACTAGTTTGTTTGTGTCACTATTGCTGAAGCTCGCACACAAATTATCATTTCTGAATCCACTTGGCAAATTTACCAGTTCTTAAATCTCATCCTCACTCTTTTATTCCTATAATATTTTACTTATTTTTCTGAGTGCTAAAGCAACACTGTTGCAGCGAGGGGTCTTTACGGCTGACTCATCAGTGGAAGTGCCAGTTACTTCCTGCACGACGACAAAAATGCTACTGGTGCAGGGAGAGATTAAGGCTCGGAAATATCTTGGTTACATACATAGATGATCACCATCTTTGCAGGACAAAAGATGCCCATCATCTATTTATGATCGCTGTCATTGAAGGATTAATAGTAAAGGCAGATAATTGGTCCATGGAGATTAACCCACTCTATTTTTGCTTATTTACTATGCTTATTTGTGATTTTTTATTGACTTAATTGCAATTTGCTTTTATATAGTACTGACTTTTTTCATGTGTTAACCCTGTATTAATAATTGCCATTACTATTTTCATGAAGAAGGATTATTTTTCTCAAAAACTTAGAGATGATGATGGGGACACAGAGGCCAGCGGGGCAGGCAAGTCAGGTGGCACAGCTGGTGACTCACAGGCAGCAGTGGGAAGCAACCCTTTCCTGGCCCCACCCACTGGCAATGGTATTCAGTACAAGAAAGGATACATAATGCGCAAGTGTTGCACTGATCCTAATGGAAAGAAGAGTGAGTGATCTGATATTCATCATGCAAGTATAGTCTTTTGGAACAAGAATTAGTCTGTAAATGATTTATATATTAAGTTCTTGGGAGGATTGTGCATCCCAGCTTGAAGAAATTAGAAAAAAATTAGAATTCCTGTTACTGTCATAGATTACTTACTCCTATGTCTGTTAATGTAAAATATGAATTTTACATTGGTGTGGAAAATTTTTATTTCATGTGAAGATTAGAATTAATCTTAATGTTACATCATTTGTTTACAGCTGCATTTGGAAAGCGTTCATGGAAGATGTGGTTCTGTGTGATACAAGATTTAGTCTTATATTTACACAAAGATGAACAAGGTGCCCGACGTGGACCGCAGCATGCTCAGCTAGGATACAATGCCATTCGCTTGCATCATGCTCTTGCAACACGAGCCCACGATTACTCTAAGAAAGAGCATGTCTTTCGATTGCAAACTGCAGATCAAGCTGAATATTTGCTACAGACAAGGTAATAACACTATTTGAATAGCAGCAGATTTCCTACAGTCCATTCATTTTTAACTTATTTGTTGAAGGTATAGTTATACTTGTACAGCCTTCATTTTGTAAGATATGATATTATAACTCTTAGTAATGTAGCTTTGTTTCTTCAGTTTATGAAGCTCCAGTAAAGAAGCCCACAACCTGCATGTTATGTTTATGGTAAGTATTAATGTTGTGACTTTTACCTCAGTGATAGCAAAGAACTTCAGGCTTGGATAGACACCATCAACCTAGTAGCGGCAAGCCTGTCTGCAGCTCCTCTACCTGGAGCTGTTGGTTCTCAGCGCAAGTTCCAGCGACCACTTCTTCCCTGCAGTATCACAAAGCTCAATCTGGTATGTGTATTTTTATTTAATACTGGTAATCTAAATCCTCACAATGCCATTTGATTCCTGTGGAGTTGCTCTACAAAATGCATTTCTGAATTTTCAGGTTTAAGACAAAAGATTAAAAGAAATATTTTTCTGTGTCAGATGTTGAAATCATGAATTTAAATGTTTTCATACAACATTTGAAACCTACGCACAATATTTTTGTAGATGTCATGTTTTATTGTTAAAATAATTTTCTTTCTTATGCTGTGTACCAACTTCCTTCCTTTTCTAACAAATGTAGCGGAAGAGTTGTATCACATAAGCCTCACAAGAATTTAAAATGAATATATACTGTATCAAGCTTCTAAAATCCTAAAAATATTCAGTTAGTACCAAACAAGAAAACTACAGTTTTGTCTTGATAAAAAAAAGAGTAGGAAAAAAGGTGCCAATAACACTCTTTGGGAATGCAGCTGAAAATTTATTTTGTTGCCAAAGGGTTATTTGTCATGTGTTTGGAGTAGATGTAATAACTTTTAGGTAAGTACAGATAAATCCTCGGGATAACGGACTAATTAGGGGGATACCATTGTCGCTAAAGCCGAAGTCTGTTAAAACGGATTTCTGATAATGTCCGATAATCCCGATACACATTCTGTTAACTAGAGGAAATGTATGAGAGGCCACACCAGTGTCTCAATTTGAACGCGTGGCCTGTACCGGAAACACTGCCTCCGTTGTGCTCCACTGTTTATGTTCACAAATTCCAACAAATCTTACCTTTTGCTTGCCCACTGCCTACTTGTTGCTCCACTACAATATGTCTGCAAGAGGAAAAGGTACTCTAACACCCAAGAGACCGGCAGATACTGTTAGTGAATAAGAAGTTAGAGATTATTATGGAATGTAGTTTGTAAGTGTAACAGTGAGTTTACAACATTGTACAGTGGTTTAATAAGTGTGTACACATGTACAGTACTATACTGAGAGTATGTATAAACATACATTCAGTGTACTCAACATCATCAGCACTCATACACTGGCCATTTGAAACAGCTCTGGGAGAAATTTTTCTGGACTACAGCATCTACAAGGTAGAGTCAAATTACTGTACAATTGTATATTTTAGTTTTATTACACACATGTGTATTTTATTTTTACAGTTACATATTCTTTATGCAGTCACAAACTATTGGAGAACTCCTCAGGGATAACAGACATTTGTTTGTTATCTTGATTGTTTGCCCAATAGATTTAGGGTGTCTGTTATAATTAATCTGGTACTGTTATGTACAGCATCCATTATACCAAGGGTTTACTGTAATTTATAAACTTCTACTCGGTTCTTTGGTCATCTCTTAATATTTGACATACTGTAATTTGCTTTACATGCCCACAAGATATTTATTTTGGGTAACATTTGTTTAGTACAGTATTGATTGACTGGCAAGTATTTGACTTATTCAATAAGAAATATAGCAGCTGAATGTGTTTTCTTAAAAATTTATTGTTCTTGAGTGTTGCTTACATTTATCAGTTAGCAGTAACTCCAATCAATTTTTACTTGTGCACCGGTCTTTGTTTGGATATTAAAAATATGTTTTTCCAATGATATTTGATGAGTTTTGAACGAATTTTTTATTCATTTCTCCCGGAAATCACTATGTTTTTTTATATCCTCCCCGCCCCCGCCCCCCACAATAACAGGGGGAGAGCCTGGGAAATCGGGGTTTTTGGGTGGGGGAGAAAACGAATCATCTAACCTAATAAAACCTAACCTAACCTAACCTAACCCAACCCCACCCCTTGGAGCTTCCAGACCCCGCTAGGCCCAGTTTTTGGGTGTTGAGAAAGCGAAAACGAATCATTTAACCTAACCTCACCTAACCAGGGTTGCACCTCTTCCATTTCTGTTCGGCTGAAGAAAACTGGTGACACCGCCAAATGTGTTGTTCTTCACGCAGTACTCACTGATTATTACAAATATGCCAAGTTTTCTAAAAAAAAGAAAAAAGAAAGAAATTGCATCACTATTTTCTGATGAAAATCGGCATTTGACATAAAATAATCTCTGTCACAATATCAGCACATCTCTTCCTCCTGTTCAGCCATATCTGGTACCGAAAATTTAAATCTCCGCTTCCGACGCACCCACACATTATTCATTGGCTAAGACCAAAAACAGTTGTCCAAGAATAAGTTTCCTATCGCTACAGTATAGCCAATAAGAAACTCCTACACCACTCCCCGCACATGCGCTGTAGATGCTTAAGAAGCGAAGACGGAGGTCTGGAGCGATGCAAGAGCAGGTGTCAGACCTACGCCATAAGTAAACAAGACATGGCGACACCTTTGACCAAGTGAAAGTAATAATATTGAAAAATTAATATCTCGGTTATCCTTAATTTCCGGTGGAAATATCATAGAAGAAAAATGTCTTAGAATTGTCTAAAATTACGAAATACATGTTAATAACAGCGAGAGAAAGACTGGTGCATAAAGAAAAATTCACTGTAACTCCCTTGTCAAAATACTGTAGATTGTCAGTTTAAAAACTTGACTTTGATGGGCAGGAGGACTCAAACTTATAGAGCCCCCCAAATTTTCCTATAACAACTGAAATTCCAGTTAATGGGTTTGGTAAAAAGAGTAGTTTCAGATGCTTTTGGCTTACCGTGAGAGTTATCTCAAGACTATTTTGCCAAAGAGTGCATATGTTTTATTTTTTGTTATCACAATGCTGTATAGCACAAACACTGTTTCACATTTAAACTGCAAGCCTATATTTTGCAAATACTGCCTGCTGTAAATGGGTGTGCATCTTTGCAATGGGCAACCTTTACAAACTCTGATGTCATGTGTTTATAGTAGTCTCAAGATTCCAGATTGTGGGTAAGTCTGATGATTTTTCAGAAACATTTCACGAAAACCCAAAGTTTTAATCTCTCTTTTTTCTAAAATATAACAGTATTTTACAGAATAACAGAAATTATACCCCAAAATAAAATTTATTTTGTGATTCAATTCAGTGGCCACAGATCTTATGAGCATTGAATGCTAAATTATGTCAGTGTTAATAAATGTACAACTTGTTTTATCAGACTGAACAGGTGGAGGACCATACACGGCGTTTAGCACAGCTGGAGCAAGAACTTGAGGACCACAAGGCTCACCCCCCAGAGAAGAACAGCAAAGCCTCCTCCATGTCAAATTATCGGGAAAAAGAAACATACCTCTTGAAGGAGGTAAGAGTTGTAAAACCCATGTCATATAAGAGGAAATGTTGCCTAGAAACCACCGATACATATTAATATTCAAAGTACACTTACCGGTAAGCACATAGCTTTCACTGAATGTTATTCACTTTCAGTTTCCTAATAGATCGTACCTTTTAGAATTTGATGTTAACTGATGCATTTCACAATTCAGCTTATGTGGTGTTAGATTGTTGTTCTCAATTTTGTTTCTTCCTTCGTTTATAAAAAAAAATTATTTGGTATTTTGAGATGTTTTCAAAATATACCAGTGATGAAAGTTAATGTAGAATTATATTGTTACAGGTGAAAAGATACCGGACCTACGTCTATCTCCTTCGTTCCCGGCTCACATCTCAGCCTCCTGGACAACAGGGTGCTGGAGCAGGAATCGAAGCTAGTGATCTTCCAGTATTTGAAGCACGCCCAACTGGGGAGGGGGCAGAAGGGGGGGATCGCGGGGGCCGCGTTGTACCGCCACCCATTCCCGAGCGGGCGCGGCCGGGTGACAGGTACAGTTACCAGCAGGCAGTGCACCACAATGCCTTTCTCTGACCCACCACTGTGTGCTGTGCTGAATACCATCATCTCACTAAATCCTCACACCCTCATCACCCCATCACACCATACCTCACCCTGGCTTTATCTGCCTCATAACTCGGGTGTTGGAAGAGGATGCCCTCCCATGTTGGTTTACCAGGTTAAGGTACACTTAGTGCTGTAAACAAACTTTATCTTTCAAGCCAGTCTGGGTTAGCCTTACTTACCACTCACCCTGATGTAGCATCCCTGCAGCCAGGCTGGCACTCGCATGGCTATGAAAAATAATTTTTCACCCAGCGTCAAGTGGCTTTAATGTTACTATACTGTAATACTGTATGACACCTAATACAATTAAGATCAAATTTCTGTATAATGCTGTGTATGAAAATAAAAGTCATAATTAATGAGGTATGGTGAATGGAAGGGGTTGAGGTGTTTGTGCTTTAGGGTGTGTGACCTGGGCATTGCCTTACACCCCCTTGGGACAGGGGCAGTTTGAGCAAGGATACCTTAGAGTACAGTGTGATTGTGTTTTAGCAGTCATTCTGAACCTTTCAAGATAGCTCTTCATATATTTTATATCTGGCATTTGGAGTAGATAGCAAAATAACCAATTTTTTTTTTTTTGGTAAATTGGGGAAAGGTTTAATAGAACTGTATTGTATTGATATCAGTGAAAAGGTAACCTGAATAATGGACATGCATTACTGGTCTGATTTCTCATATCAGGCTTGGAGTAATTACTTATAAATAATGGTACTTGTCATGTTGAAAAACACAAATATGATAGTTCCCTGATTTTATGTGACAAGGGATGTGAGAATTTTAAACAACAAATGAATGTTTGTTATTTCATCCATATTTTTCATTATTTACAACATATATTGATTTTATGTTTACATCATGAAAAATATGCAGTGTAGGAAAGGTTACAAGCATAATACTTAGGCTTTGATGCTTGTTCGTCCTAAACTGCCTGTCAAAGGAAATAATTGTTTAAGACTCTGCTCCTACTGTCTTGGAGCATTGCAGTCGAGTAGTAAAGCACTCATCTCTTGTTCTGGGGCTCATTAGTTTGATTCCTGGGTGCTCCCAGTTCACCCAGCTGTAAATGGGTACCTAAGTTTACAACTTGGGGAAGTGAAAGCGGTCAAGTGCAGTACCAGCCATGCTGCCTCCTTGTGTACCGAAGGCTTTGTATACAGTGTGTTGTGTCCACACTGTCTCTAATGGGCAGTCATGCCTATGGGACCTACTTTCACTTTTTTCACCCGCTGTCTTGCTTTTAATGCAGGAAGTAGCTTGTAAGGTATATACTCTCTGTTTGTCTATCCGTAATCTTTCCTCCACTCCCACTTTTGATGTAGGGGTGGATTGAGGAACACGGAACCTCAAGAAAGGATTTAGTAAAAGAGAATGGCACAAGAAAAATTTGATAATGACAGGAAGGGGTGAAATAGGTAGAAGCACACACACACACACACACACACACACACACACACACAAAAGTAAATAAATAAAAAATAAAAAAAGCCTTGGTCTCCATGCTCTTTGCATTGCTTCGTAATGATTCACTGTACATGTCAAAGTTAATTTTTCAGGCTCCGTGAGACAAAAGCTATCACTTATGAAATTATTCTGTGTTTGTTCTTATAACATTTGCTAATGAGTGTCATAAGATATCTCTTCACCTCACAAAATCTCCTGTGTACTGTGCCCATCTTTTTCTTTGTCTTCCTCTGACTCTTCTACCTCTAGCCATGTCATCAAATCTTCCTTACCAATCTCCTGCCCTTTATGTGCTCCACAAATGAATTTAAGTGAACTCGCATCCATTTACACTTAAACAGACTACTTTGACCCCACACATATGTTTCATCTCAATATTTTACTATATCCTGTACAGTATATCTTCTGAATTCCTTTAAACATGCTATATATATATATATATATATATATATATATATATATATATATATATATATATATATACATATATACATATATATATATATTATATATATATATGTACCAATTAGTAATGAAAAGTTGTGCAGTTCCTTCAGCAAATGAAGCTCACCAACTTACAATAGGCTAAATTACCTTACAACGTGTTTTCAGTAGGCTATGTTGAAGTTCTTAGCACAGGCTAACTTATCATATCACATACGGTATCACAGTTCTCATTGATCTACAAAAAATACCGGTAATAAAAACCTTTTTGATATTTCACACTTAATATAATACCCGGTAATCTACTTCAACCTCCTATTGTTTACAACGACCCTTGACGCATCACGCACCACCAGCTGTATCAGCTAGACGGTACACGTGTTTTTCGAATCGTTTTCAGTTAAAAACTGTTACATCACATGTATATTTTACCTTAACTGTGCCTGAATGAATATATTCTCGGAAATAAATAGTAGTTTTGCTGAAACGTGATGTATTTTAATGTAAAATAGGATAAAATACATGACGATAACAAAAGATTTTACCTAACCTTCCCATGTTCAAGAGAAGTTACTCGTTTTTTTAATAGTTTTTGGTTAAAATATTGTTATATTACAATGGTATTCTATTCATACTGTGCTTGATATAATGCATTCACGGAAATGTAATATTTTTGCTGAAATGACGTACGTATTACAGTGGAAAGTGGGATAAAATTGTGACGAAAACAATGACTCGCTTTCTTTCGTTCAAAAGATGTTACCGTAATCGCTTTTCAAATGGTTTTCAGTTAAAAACTGTTGTATTACAATAATATTCTATCCTAATTGACTTGAATAAATACTACAATACCATATTTCTAAATATTTTCATTAAAATCCATCAAAATCATTTTCCTTGTCATCGTCTGCAGCACCAAACAGCTTCTCCCAGTCCTCTCCCTGAACAGGGCTAGAGGGTACGTGTTTTTCGAATCGTTTTCAGTTAAAAACTGTTACATCACATGTATATTTTACCTAAACTGCGCCTGAATGAATATATTCTCGGAAAAAATAGTAGTTTTGTTGAAACGTGATGTATTTCAGTGTAAAATAGGATAAAATACATGACAAAAACAAAAGACTTTACCTAAGCTTCGGATGTTCTTGAGATGTTACTCATTTTTTTAATAGTTTTCGGTTAAAATTCTGTTATATTATAATGATATTCTATTCATACTGTGCTTGATATAATACGTTCACGGAAATGTAATATTTTTGCTGAAATTACGTACGTATTACAGTGGAAGGTGGGATAAAATCGTGACGAAAACAATGACTTTCGCTTTCTTTCATTCAAAAGATGTTACCGTAATAGCTTTTCGAATGGTTTAGTTAAAAAACTGTTGTATTACAATAATATTCCCTCCTAATTGACTTGAATAAATACTTGAATGGAAATATACAATATTTTTGTTGAAACTACCCGCGTTTTAGTGTAAAGTGTCGAAATAATAAATGGTAAACAATTTGCCTTCGGCACTCGTGTTTCAGGCACGGCGAGCCTCAGTTTATAGGACGTAGAGCGTTTTTACTGAAGGTTTTGTTGTTCCATTACCCTCAAAAACGTGGGTCGAACTATAAACGAGGAATATCATAAATTAACGATTTCTTGGTCAAAAAATCAGGGTCGACCTATAAACGAGGGGGGGTTATAGACGAGTATATACGGTACCTCCCTCTGTATTCAACATTCTGAGTCAAACAGTTTTCTTCCCCTTTCAAGAGTTCTGTCCGTCCATATGTCACATGTTGTTTCTGATCACTAACTAAAGATGTATTTTTTTTTTTTTTTTAGTAAAATTTTGCATACAGCTTACATTGCTGATATCTAAGGATAATTTTTTAATCAGCATTTATCATATGGATATGCCACAGTTGTAGATCATGTTTATCTTATAACTTTTATTTTGAGGCATAAGTCACCCTCAGTGTTTGTCTAGTCTTTTTGTTTGTACCTGTATACTGGAAATAATGGTCGATTATTAGCATTTGTATACCTTCATATACTGCATTTCCTTTAGTTGTTCAACAGGAGATTAGTTAAAGTATCTTCTCCAAGCTGAATACTTTATAATCAAAGGGAATTCTTTTTAGCTAATGATTATCATCTAAAATATAAAAGTTAAAAGCAGATAATAAGTTCAAGCAAATTTTTCTTTTACCTGACTTAGTATGCATTATGATATATTTAGTAGTTAAATAGAATATACTGTAAAGGAATACAGAACACTCGAAATTAAATTTTGAAATTATGGTTAATGATAGATATCTTCACTTATGTTGGTAAAGGAGCAAAGTTGATAAACAAAAGGGGATATGGCCATAAAATATGCCAGGGCTGGGAAAAAGACAGGTATCCTTTAGGTGTAGCCTCACGTGTAGGCATTTTATTTACAACAAGTTCAAGATTCTGGTAGATGGGTGAATACACTTTTAATATTGCTTATACTGTATACAGTATAGACTTTTGGGGGGCATTTTTGAATATATTTATAACACTGTCATTGAAATTTCTGACATTCATTGTTTACATGTGATTAGACTTTTTGCATATTTTCCAGGGAAAAGATTTTGACTTGTGTTTACATTTTTGTGTAGCAGTGTACAGTTTATTGTACAAACTAAATAATTTGGATATCTCACATCCCAGACTTTGAGAGTTCATAATTTCAGGATTCTACAATATTTACAGTGACTTAGCGTGATGCTGAATAATCTCTATTCAGTGATGATAAAGTCTATAGTAATTAGATGAATAAGCTTAAAAATTAAAGATATGTTTCTAAGAGATGAGTGATGGCATGGGACCTCTTGGTTCACTTACAGCTTTTCTTAGACCTTACACAAAAGGATATATTCTGGGAATGTTAAATTAAAGAACACAGAAAGGATGTTCTCTACAGATTTTTTATAACTTAATTTTTTTAAGGAGTACAGATTATTGTTTTTGTGGTTCAGTTTTATGTTATAGGAAT